CTGAATAATGTCTCAGGCTTTTATGCACACAAAAAATATCTCAATTATAACCGAATGATGTTATATTTTATGTAAAAGCACATAAGCTACAAGTTTTTGTTATCTTCCTCATGTTCAACTATGTTAATCAAATTGTTATGTAGATAATCAAGGTACCACAGTTGCAAATATTGTCAAGTGAAATGGTTGAAATGGTACTGTTTTGGGTATGAGAGTACAGATAACAAACTACAGGGATGCAGCTCAGTTGGTAGAGCATGGCGTTTGCAACGCCAGGGTTGTGGGTTCGATTCCCACGGGGGGCCAGTATGAAAAAATAAAAAATACAATACTAACTGTAAGTCGCTCTGGATAAGAGCATCTGCTAAATGACTAAAATATAAATGTAAAATGTATATAGATCAACTGAGCTGGTCACATTCTCTGTTGTTTGCTTTATTTCTTTTTTGTTTGGAACCAAAGAAAGATGGCTTTGCTTGAGGCGTGATAGACTTGTAAAATAAAAGAGAGTGATCAAACATCATCATAGAGCTCTTATTGTCATTAAGTAATAACAGTGCTAATTTGCAGAAAGATTGCAGAATTCTGATCGGAATTATTGTGTCAAATATCACAATACTAATAATGAATACCACAAAGTAAAGAAAGTACAGATCTGCTTTTCAACACACTATGTGACAAACAAATTAGATAAACATGAACAACACTTCTCCATTTTGTTTCCAGGTTTAGAAATAAATAACCCCCCATGAGGCGTTCAAGAGAACCGATGACAGTAAGTGTTACTAACCGGATGTCCATATTGGCATGTCTCAATGTTGGGTAACACATCTTGAACGCTCTGCCATTAGGTCTAGTGACTTAACCATGTCAGAACAATTACATAAAGTATGTTATTAACAGTCATGACAGCTGACATAAGCTTGACAGCTGACTTGACACTGTCATGGCACAAATCTTTGCTTAAGTCAGCTTATTGGCTTGGCATACAGGAAGCCAACTAATTTACATAAATAACAATTTGTGTCATGACAGTGTAAAGTGTTGTCAGTATTTTGACATCAGTTTTCATGACCGAAAATTACATGTGTTATGTCATGACAGCGTTATGTCACCCTTATGACAGAGAAGTCAATTAAAGTTGAACCTGTATCCGACTTCCCTGTGTAAACCATTGTGTAATACTGAGCATGTACATACCGTAGTGTATTTACACATATGGCTGACAACATAATAGTCATGCAGGGTATTTATTTACATAATGTATACTGGTATCCTTTTACCAATACGTATGCAGCTTATTATTATTGTATTAACAGTCATTGTTATCTAGTTATGCCATTAGTGAGCTTGGAGATTACATTACATGAGTTGATCAAGTATATTTGAAAAGCACAACCAACTGTTATATCAGCTTCACGTTTGTGCCACTCAACTGCTTCATCTGATACAACCCTATAGGATTAGGCATCGATTTCACAATTCACAACCATTGAAGACATTTTTGTGAGAAGCGGTCTCAGGTAAGTGATCCTTTGAAACAGCCACAGTGATCAGTGTTCGCTGATCTTTCAGCACTGTTTACATACACACACACACACATTGTCTCAACAAGATACATTTTGGCCTGCTGTGCGAGTGCTACAGTGGAGTCATGTATGCCAGATTGATCCAAAAATGGATTCTAACCCATTGGTTCCCATTTAAGGATAAGTTAACACTTAGCCTTAGCAAAACAGAGACATTGTCCAAAAATACTTGTAATTAAATCATGGGCAATGGCATAAATAGAACATTCTGTGTTACCCCGGCACATTTCCCCAAGAGCAAACCACAACGCAATCAGTGCTTGTAATGCATAAGAACAAAATAAATCAGGCCACCTCTTGCACGAACAGAACCTTGTGTTTAATGCTCGACAAACCTCTAAGAGTATCCATCTTCTCTCTCTATATAAAATCAAATAAATTATTCATTTCTCATCATCATCAAAAGCTACTGAGTCACAGCACATATCACTATTGAACTATATGTGAGATGAAGATGACTGGCTTCAACTGGATATGTACCAGGCCTGACGTTTGTTGAACACTGGTCAGTGTTGACAACCACTGGATCAGGAAGAGAGAGGAGATCCCTCATTTCCTCCAGATCCAGGGTCAGCAATAGAGATAAGAAAAGAAAAAGCACAAAACACACCCCTTTCCCTGACACTTCGACTGGCAGCGGACACAGTGGAGAAGGACTATAATGGACAGATCTAGAACAGGAGCAGGAACAAGCTAGCCTGGTATCCAAACTGATTGCGCTGCATTTCACAGGAAAACAGAGGTGAGCGCAGCGTTCAATCTGGTTTAACAAGGCTAGCTATGAGTATGATATAGGGTGACATACAGAAGGGGAGCCCCAGAAAATGTGTTACTGTGTCCCAAGCTTGATAGCAATGCCAACAATTAATGGTGTAGAGATGGAAATAGCAACATTGAATGTAGATGATACAGTACAGTACAGTAGCTAACACATTGCACCTGTTGTGAGTGAATTGTGTGGCTATGAACAGTAAAGTAAGAGCTGGGAGACCGACAGCTGCTGATAATACAAAGAGCTTTTTACATTGTCCACTGGGCCGTGTTCCGACCCTGCAAGTAGCTACCAGCAGTCCTGGGCGGCGAGATGTGACTGGGGCTCCCCCTGGAGGCCGGGGGGTTGACCAACGGGGACGTCAATTCAGATGAGTCAGGGACGGGGGGAGACGATGGGGAATCTTGGTGTGATGGTGAAGGGTGGTGATGGTGTCCACGGGGGAGGGGAGGAATACGTTTGAACAGGGGGCGAATGACGTGAGGTGGGGGGCGACAACATGGCTGCCACTGTGTCCCGCGGTGACGAGGAGTCAGGGAAGGATCGCGATTCATTTGGCTTTGATCTCAGTGTAGTCGCTGCCGTCATCCCCCCTCCCTGAGGCCCCCCCATCCCTGGAGCGCCCCCCCAGAAACTCCAGGGCAGCGTAGTTCAGCTCTTGCCTCTCCAGGTCTGCCATAGAGCCCACAGGTTGATAATCCCCGTCTTCTCCCTGTTGAAGGAATGGAAAGAGACAAGGTCCCATTCAGAATCACAGATTATACCAGCACAGTGCCACCAATGCCATTGACATCTCAGAACATAGAGCGTATAAAGGTATAGCATGACAGACATTGAGAGGGGAGAAAGGAGGGTTAGTTGTTATTGGTGAGCAGAGGTGTAAGACAAGGAGATTGAGTAGGTTTGAACATATCCTGTTAGTATCGAGGCAGCCATGCAACAGCAGTCATGGAAATCAAAGGCAATACAGCACATGGAAGCGGATCTCAGACAGCAGACGACTGTGGGCCATATCTGGTTGTTTGGTGACACATACAGTATGGCTCAGTTCTGGCACCACAATGCGTCATATGGCCCAGATCTGGTCCGAATGTAGGAGATGCGAACTGGGGGAGGGTTGGCACTTTGCTTATGGGCCATCTCTGGCTTGAGTTGTGTGGCCCTAACAACATTCCCTAGTTACTGGGCTACTTTTGGTCTGAATGTGGGCCACATCCACCTTGCCAGACAAGGTCTGGACATTTCATGTTAAGGATCCACTTCAGGACCGTAACACCAAGTGGTTAACTGGGCCAAATGGTAAGTCGTTATATTGTAGATTAGGGCCATCATATAATTTTGCTGTCTGGGATGTGTGAGGGATGCGGTCTACCACTGAGACCTGGAGTTGGGATTGGGGTAGGGTTGTTTAGGTACCTTACCGTACTCTCCTCTAGAATGGAGGTAAACTTTGAGCCCAGAAGCTCTGTCTTAAGCTGTGCAAGAGTTAGGGAAAAGAAACAGAGACAGAAGAACGCAGAGAAGCGATGAAGCAGAAAACAGTGGTTTGGAAAGGCTATGGTTGCAGCTACTCCAGCGGTACTGTGATAGATAGCTATAGGGGTACTGGGACTCTCAGGCTAGGTCAGTAGTTGGCTGGGGAAGTTTACATTTTCTCTTTAACATAAGAGGTCATATCGGTTTTTGATAATTTATGAGTATCTCCACGGAATGAACATTACCGTACATCAAAAAAGAGACATGAATTGAACGGGTATAGTATAGTATCAGCATCAGCAACGGGTCAGCTATCTTCATAAATAAATAATAATAAATAAATATCTTTCTCGTGTCTGGGACAGATCTGAGATCATTATCATCATTATAGTCATCATCATCAACATGTCTCACCACTTTCTTCCTCAAACATTGTTTGTCCTTCTTGACTGTGCTGTAGTACAATGCTGGGTTCTCCAGTTTAGACACCAGGTCCTGCCCAGGGTTGCCATTCTCTCTGGGGGGTGGAGTCACAAGATCAGACTCGTCTCATGACCACTAACTAACTGAGGGTGACACTCCAAGCCTGGGCATCCATTTTAAAACAAGGGCCTGTTTCCCAACATAGTTAACAATCTACAGGCCTATAGTTTATGGTTGTGGTCGACGTTCATGGTTGTGGTTATCGTTTCATGGGTTTAGTTGCGGTTGAGCCGACACCCTCTCTTGGAGCGACTTTCTGTAAAACCATTTGTCGGAGTGTGATGTATTGCTATAATGCTGAAGCACCTTAGTTAAGTAGGCTACCGTGGCTGTATTTTTAGCTAAGCAAGTCAAGGGTACAAAGCAGTATCAAAGCAGGGAATTGAGCCTGCAAACTATAGGCTACGGTTAGTCTGGCTTGCTAACCCCACTCCAACAGGCAGCCATTTTGGATCTCCATCTCAGAGGATTTCAGAAAGGGGACTAGTGATGGCAAATTAATTGAACTCGCTCTGGCGTTAGCATAACTTATGACCATGATTCTCACGTCCTTCCATCGATCAATCATTCACTCATGAATACACAGAGGTGTTTTGGAATGGATGGCTAGGCTGAAGTGTTTCCTTATCATCAATTTAAACAGGAAATGACTACCTGTAGCTCGTATTGAGGGTGGATACTCACTTCTTGTTGTTATGGCCCACATATCTCACTGCTGCGATGATGAAGGCGATGACAGCCACTCCACCAATGGTGCCAACGATCACTGCCATCATGTACTTCTCTAACATCGGACAAGAACATCATATTGAAGGTAGTGTAGAAACAGAAAATACTGTTTAGCTAGGTCATGGTACTATAATTTAGCTTGTTTACATTCAAGATAATGCCATTGCCATATCAAGCCAATGGGGTAGCCAGTTTGTGGACTTACTTATACAGTCAATCTAGATATCATATAAAGGTACTACACTTCTCATTTCAGTTCAATCTCTCATGTATGCTCTGCTATACAATGTTTTGCATTTTAACGGTATGGAGTTTGTTTCTGTGTTTAACCATAAACCTGAACTTGTGTACTCACTCTCCTGCTGCAACTCCAGATGAACGCTCTCCGACCCGTACATGTTGCTGATGCTGCAGTGCACATTGACGGCACCGTTGCCCAGGCGCTCACCCTTCTCCCGTAGCTTGATCATGCCCGTGGACGTGTGGCCGTCTGTGTGCGTGTAGTAGTTGTAGCGGCCATCCGTGTCGTTGATGGTGATGTTCTTGTCGGGGAGGTAGAACTCGATGGTGGGCTCAGGGTTGCCTGTAGCCATGCAAACACACTGGACTCCCTCCCTCACCACTGTGCACTTGGACTCTTCCAGAAGGACAGGGGCGTCTGAAGAGAGGGTGGAGGTAGGGGTATGACTGATATGTAGAGTGGGATAGGATGGTGTAGTGTTGTGTAGCGTAGTGTGGTACAATACGATATGGTACCATACCATATGATATGAAACAACATTACATGATTTGATGACCCACTCACATTCCACAGTGATGTTGAGGGAGCTACTGGCTCGTCCGTGTTCGTTCTCTGCCAGGCAGCGGTACTGTCCGTCTCCCTGAGGGGTAAGCTCCAGAAGCTCCAGCACAGACACCTCCTCAGCCGTGATGGTGCCCACCAGCTCCCCGTCCTTCAGCCAGGTGAGGGTGGGCGCGGGATTGCCTTGGGTGCTACATTGCAGGGAGATGGAGGAACCTTCCAAAATGGTCAGGGAGCTGTTTATCACTGGCTCACTGGGAGGGTCTGCAGGGAGGACATAGAAGGGATGAAATGTAGAGCGATATGAGGAGAATGAAAGGAGTTGAACAATGGAGTACGTTAAAGAGGATAGAACGTACTGTGTATAAACAAGCGCAAGAAGCTATGGGCCTGGTTTATCACATAACTAATACGTCATTATATATATCGCGCTTCACTACTTCAAAGGAGAGGCATTTGAACAGAAACATTTTATTATTCATCAAAATATGTTTTTGGGCAGAAATGCCTTCTGGATCATGTGAATTTTCATGTGCCTTAATAACAAACTTGTATACCATCTTTAAATAAGTATACAATTTAAATTACGAGCCTAGTTGGTTTAGCATCGGAAAAAGACAAGAACCTTCCCACTAGCCATGATTGGCTGAGATAATGGGTGGGCTGGACATTCCGAGAGATGAGTTCGGATTGGTCTGCCATGTAGCAGGCTTCTGTCTATAATGAGCTGCTCAGTATGTGTAGGTAATCCTTTCTAACGCAGATTTTTTTAAAGATAGCTGCCCACTTTCTGGAGGACCAAGTTTTGAAATCAGTGGAATTCCCGGTGGAAGCAGAGCATGATAGCTAAGGAGATGGAGAAAATTCAGTCGTTTGATTGCAAATGCAGAGAGAGTCGAAAAGAGAACACAAAACACCTGTCTCCGGATTACATCTTCAAAATTAAGGGCAACCATGGCATCCATGACAGAGAGGGAGAATCGTTCATCCATGTACTGTATACGGGTAAGAGAGTATAGCTAGCTACATTTTCAGATATTATATGTTTCAAATTTTCATTGCAAGTTAAAGCATACTGTTAGCTAGCTAATGTTAGCAGGCTGGCTGGCTCGCTAGCTAACATTACGTGTAGTAATATTATTCATATCTCAGAGCCATTTGCACTGCTAGTTATAGCCTAATGTTAGCTAGCTAGTACCGTTTACACCTTCTGTATCCTGTGCATGTGACAAATAAACTTTGATTTTATTTTATATAGTGTGTGTTTACCAGAGACTGTAATGTGAACAACAACATGACCTTCACCAAAGTGAAATTAGGATTAAACGTTAGGCCAACAAGACAGTGTCCAAGTAAAAAAATTATCCAGTAGAAGGACCTGCTTTTACACTCACAACCATAAACAATTTTCTGTAATTAGCTCGCCATTAACTTGTAAATAATGATCTTGTTGTGAGTTTATTTTTCTGTAATAATGAATGACAACTGTATACAGACATGTTGATAGACGCAGTATAAACCAGCCTTTAGTCTTGAAATCTTTGGTTGTTTAGTACATGACCGTACTCACTGTTTAGCACTGGCCTCACACCTCACACATGAATCGAGCCGGTTGGTCACATACAGCGGGGGAAAAAAGTATTTAGTCAGCCACCCAATTGTGCAAGTTCTCCCACTTAAAAAGATGAGAGAGGCCTGTAATTTTCATCATAGGTACACGTAACTATGACAGACAAAATGAGAAAAAAATTCCAGGAAAATCACATTGTTGGATTTTTTTATGAATTTATTTGCAAATTATGGGTGGAAAATAAGTATTTGGTCAATAACAAAAGTTTCTCAATACTTGTTATATACCCTTGTTGGCAATGACACAGGTCAAACGTTTTCTGTAAGTCTTCACAAGGTTTTCACACACTGTTGCTGGTATTTGGCCCATTCCTCCATGCAGTCTCCTCTAGAGCAGTGATGTTTTGGGGCTGTCGCTGGGCAACACAGACTTTCAACTCCCTCCAAAGATTTCTATGGGGTTGAGATCTGGAGACTGGCCTAGGCCACTCCAGGACCTTGAAATGCTTCTTACGAAGCCACTCCTTCGTTGCCAGGGCGGTTGTGTTTGGGATCATTGTCATCCTGAAAGACCCAGCCACGTTTCATCTTCAATGCCCTTGCTGATGGAAGGAGGTTTTCACTCAAAATCTCACGATACATGGCCCCATTCATTCTTTCCATTACACGGATCAGTCGTCATGGTCCCTTTGCAGAAAAACAGCCCCAAAGCATGATGTTTTCCACCCCCATGCTTCACAGTAGGTTTGGTGTTCTTTGGATGGCAACTCAGCATTCTTGTCCTCCAAACACGACGAGTTGACGTTTTTACCAAAAGGTTCTATTTTGGTTTCATCTGACCATATGACATTCTCCCAATCCTCTTCTGGATCATCCAAATGCACTCTAGCAAACTTCAGACGGGCCTGGACATGTACTGGCTTAAGCAGGGGGACACTGCAGGATTTGAGTCCTGGCGGCGTAGTGTGTTACTGATGGTAGGCTTTGTTACTTTGGTCCCAGCTCTCTGCAGGTCATTCACTAGGTGCCCCCGTGTGGTTCTGGGATTTTTGCTCACCGTTCTTGTGATCATTTTGACCCCACAGGGTGAGATCTTGCGTGGTGCCCCAGATCGAGGGAGATTATCAGTGGTCTGTGTCTTCCATTTCCTAATAATGCTCCCACAGTTGATTTCTTCAAACCAAGCTGCTTACCTATTGCAGATTCAGTCTTCCCAGCCTGGTGCAGGTCTACGATTTTGTTTCTGGTGTCCTTTGACAGCTCTTTGGTCTTGGCCAAAGTGGAGTTTGGAGTGTGACTGTTTGAGGTTGTGGACAGGTGTCTTTTATACTGATAACAAGTTCAAAAGGTGCCATTAATACAGGTAACGAGTGGAGGACAGAGGAACCTCTTAAAGAAGAAGTTACAGGTAAACTAAAATGTCAGCTTGGTTGACTTATAACTACAATGGTTAAATGTAACTATTTTTGATTATTCCACAAACACAATGTTGCACAATGACACTCACACAAGACGGCCAGGTACATGGATGTGTTCATGACGCCGTAGCCGTTATCCCCCACGCAGGTGTAGATGCCCTCCTGAGCGGGGGTTAAGTCATCCAGGGAGAGCGAGGCGTTGGAGGCCGTGTCCCACAGTAGCTCCTGGTCCCCAAACAGCCAGGAGATCCTGGGAGGAGGGTTACTGTCCACCTCACAGTGCAGCGTCACGGAGCTGCCCTCCATCACCTCCACGGACACGTTCACCCACACCGAGCGAGGGGCGTCTGGGGTGAGAGGAAGGGGAAGGTGGGGTTAGACTTGTAAAAGTGACAAGTGTATAACCTGGTTAAAAGTGTGAGGGATTGGTTATTTGGACACAACAGAGGACATATTATGTAATGTGGGGGATTATATAAATAATAATAATAATAATAATCCTGCTGACTACGCCAAACCTGGTTAAACCAGACCCAACACTGCGCTCATCATTGTTTCAAAGAAAAACAAAGGTGAAAAATAGAAAAACAGGTTTGGATGCAAGGCTAACATACCCTATGGCAGCCATGTCACAATCATGCAATATATTGCTAAATCAAGCTGCTATCCTTCTACTGTTGATGGAGAATAATGGATAACTGTAGATATTGAAAATGGTTCTACAATGTGTGCGTCAGAAATATGGCAGGATTAGTTATTCTATATTTATATAATCCCCCACATTACATAATGTGTCCTCTGTTGTGTCCAAATGACACGCTTCTCACAGAACTTGAGGATTCAACCTACAGGTTTGGTGACAACGGTCAGTTGGTCACTTACACTTGACGTCCAGAGAGATGAGTCTCTCGTAGACCAGGGTGCTGTTGGGGTAGTAGACCCTGCAGCCCAGGAGCTGGCCGTTGTGCCTGGGCCTGGGGGTGAAGGTGAGCGTGCTGGACAGTACGGCTGTATTGCTTTCTTCCACGTAGTCTGAGGTATACTCGGGTTCAGGCAGGTAGACTGTGTTCATCCATTCGATCTCTGGGCTATTCTCTGGACAATTGTCTGGAGCATAGCACGTCAACTCCAGATTCTCATCAGCGACTATCTCCTCAGGGATGTCAATGTTGGGCTGGTCTGGGGGTGTGAATGAGTTAAAATTCACCAATTCACAATATTTACCTGTTCTCATTAAAACTATAATAATTATAATCACAGCTAGGGCAATCCTAGCCTGGCCCAGATCTATTTGTGCTTGCCAACTCCTATTGTCATTGTCAGGCCATGTAATGCCAAACAGTGTCTACAGTAGTTGGCAAGACAGCACAACAGATATGGTACCAGGCTAGGGAAATCCAGACAATAAATGTGACACCTATGATTGTAAACAATTGTAAACATAGTAAATGCTTACCCAGCACCTTGAGCTCAGAGAAGTCTGGGTAGGTATAGATGTTGGCACCGCCCAGGTCGGCACGGAAGTAGTACCTCCCTGAGTGCTCTGTACCTATATTACTGATGAGCAGGGTGCAGTTCCTCTGGTGCAGGTCCCCAATGAGCTTGGTACGCCCTTTGTAACTTTCATGCACAATGTCTGTGCGCGTCTTGAACACCACAGGTGGGAAGAGCTGAGGGTAGGGCTGGCCAAAGTACCAGATGCCGTGGATGCCGCGGTACGGCCGGATACCGGACGGGTACATGAATGTGCAGGGGATGATCACGCAGGAGTTGGTCATGGCTGAGATGTCCCTGGGTATCCATACGTTCCACTGGCCACTGACATCTGAGGGAGGGAAGGAGGGAGATGGGAGGAAGATTGGAAATGGTAATATTGAGAGTGAAACTGTATATCAATGAACAATCAATCTACAATACATATACAGTTTCAAATGGACTCACTGAGAAAAGATGAACAGAGAGAGACAAAGAGAGAGAGAGAACATAGGATGATATCATGAGGTTCTCCCTGGGTGAGCTGGTAAGAGCAGAGACCCTATGTGGAGGAAGCATATGTCTCACTCTCACCACTGGCACAACTGTTTAAGTGAGAGGGACAAGGTTGAGCCAAGATGGACGCCAGCCAGCCATCCCACAGCACTGGAACAGTAGGCTGATTCCCTGCTGCCATGTGTGCCAGTTGGACCCTGTGTACCCTTTTGCTTTAGTGTTGTAAGTTTGACACACTGGGTCAATGCAGTAAAACCACCCAATCAGTTTTACACTGAAATTGCATATGTAGATTAATTCATTTCTAGTATTAAATCTGTAGCCTTTAAGGGAATTTCCACAGTCTGAGTTATTGTGGTGTAATTGAGTAGTTATTCACACTGACAAGAGAGAATGAGAAACATAAGTTTTACCTTTGATGATCAGCAACAGCGGCAGAAGCAGCTCCAAACACCACATGGTGTCTGTTTAACCCTGAACCAGAGACCTCTGCAACAGACATCGGACATCAATTACACATCAACTACTTCACACGTTACCATTCTGTTCTGGACCAATGGAGCCCCATGCTATGTGATATATATTAAATATGCGATTATAGTGACATGTAACGAATGTCAGTAGTGGTGGTATATAACTGCAATGGTTAAATGTCACTTTTTTTGGTATATATTCTAATGAGCCTATGTTGCTTTTATCTCAGGTAACAATGACATATCTCAAGATGATTGTGTGTAAAAAGATGTTAGAAATTACTGAGTATCACCTTGAATTGCAAAATGAGGGAAAAGTAGCCAAGACAGAAAATGTCTGATTTCTCAGCTTGGTGGTCGTAATAGTAGTAATGTTCACTAGAGGGCACCCAATCACACCCAGACAGCTCGACAGCCCTCTCCCTTAACTTCTCTGTAAAAAACACACAAAAAAACACACAACAAGTGACATCAGCATCAGGCGATGACATCAGCCCTGCTGCCTGAGATGCACAGCAGGCTCTTTACTGGCACTGGCACATAGACATGGTGACGCACACTCTCTCTCTCTCGCTCTCTCTCTCCCTCTCGCTCTCTCAGACGGCACCTGTTTGGGCCCCGTAGTGTGACTGCTAGTAGAGTCACTCATTAGGCTATTCATACGTAAGTCCCAGGTCTTCGACAGACAGTCACTGTTGGATGCTGTTCATAACCATGACTCACTACCCTAGTCCCTTGGCCCTTATCCAATACATTACATCATGGCGTCAACCATCATCATTTGGTCCGTTGGTTGTTTGGACCATTTAGTCTGTATCTACCAGTCTGTGTCTCCCCATTTATGTCATTCATGATGCTATGGAGGCAATGACTTGTCTTTAGCCCCCCTCCGAGCAGCCGGTGGCTGCAGATGGTGGGCCTAAGAGTGGATTGTGTTGGAGAGCTCCATGATTAACACACACTACGTCCCCAGACAGTCTATAGGCTGATAAGCTGTGTTCATACAGAAAATAAGGGCAAATTCTGTTGGTTTTAGGCAGTTTGGCAACAATAGGGAGAGGTTATTCTGGGCTGAGGCACATGAACATCCCTTTCTCAAACAAGCGACCGTACGCACACAAACAGCATGCTCATGCGTATTTCCAAACGGTGTCATAACACTTATACACACACTCTCACACACACACACACACACACACACACACATTGGAAATACAAAGTAAAAAGTACGGTCCACATAATGATCACTTATAAAGTTGACTTGGACCCCTTTAAACCAAACCATGAGGCTCTAGGTTATGGCAATCATAGCTAATGCTAGTAAAACGTTTCTAAAATATTGTGTCAAGCTGTACCATCTGCATTAGACAAAACCCCAAGAGAGGGACTGTGTCTGAGCTGAGAGGCAATGCATCAGCAATGGCAGGAGGAACAGAATAGCCCAGAGAGCAGGGCACTGACACCACCAGCAACAACAACGAGAGCCATTGATTGGCAGACAAACGGCCTGCACAGAGACCAGCCACAGACCACTTGCCTCATACCAGCTTCAGCACCAGGCTCCGGCTCCCTCTCGGTTCCTTCCCTCGGTTCTGTCGGTTCTACGTTCTCCCCGAGCGTGTGGTTCCCTTGTGGTTCTCCACAGGCTGAAAAATCCTGTCTGTCGGGTTCTATGGATTCTAGGACAGAGGATGGAGAGAGAAAGAGGGACAAAGACAGAGAGAGAGAGAGAGGGGGAAAGAGGGGAAGAGAGACTGTGTGAGCTGCAGGCTGTGGTGAATGTGTGTGGTGGGTAGTTCTGAATATGAATTCAAAAATGTCTCTGCCTTTTCCTAGGCCCACTCCACGCATTCCTCTCCTCTATCGCCATCTCTGCTATGGCCTGTCTCTCTGTCTCAGATCATGGACCAGGCTTTTGACTCTCACAACCAGGTCAAATTAACCCTGCTAGCATTAGATAACTTCCCCGCTAGGACCTACTGTATCCACAAAGAGCCAGTGACCTCAGGGTGAATGTAAGTTGAGTCATAATATCACTATGACTAGTGAGTATGACTAGATGTGTATGGCTGGATTTATACCCATACAGATGATAATATTCTCGATTTCCAAACAGATCCATTGGAATCATACACCCCCACAGTTAGAGGCTTTAGATATTGTACTGTGCCCTTGTTGACTACCGTTTGCAGCCAAAATGAGTAAATATGAGTAAATATGAAAAAAACTGAGCCAAATAAACCAATGGAGGTTAAAATGGTTCTTATTTTATTACTACAAAATAAGTATTATATTGGTGTTGTAAAATGTTTTGGGCATTCCCTTGGACACACACACACCAAAAATGTTTGTGGATGTGGGATGACAACCAGGTCCAGCAAGCAACTAGGAGGACCTCCTACTTTACATATCAACGCAACAAAGAATACTTCTATTTCATGGTGGAACGGTTATTACAGTTTAAGTGGCATGAGTCACTGTCTCCAAGAGCCATTAGGCCAGAGGCCATCTATCAAGCCATGGATGTTTTCAAGGGAATCCCTACACAAACACATCTACACAAACACACTTGAGGATGGGCTGGTAGGCCTGGGTGGGGAGGTTGGTAGTCAGAGTGAATACCTCATTCACAGACTGGAGCCTGTACAAACGAATGTGCAGCATACCACAGCCTCCTACACACACACACCAGCTCACGGCGTGCCAACACACTCCGCACTGTGGCGCTTACGGCGACACAACAGCTATGTGACCTTCCTGCCCACCCCCTCCTCTCTCATCCCCCCATCCCCTCATCCTCCTCCACTCGCTGTCGTTCCGTTGGGACAAAGCAGTGTTTCCCTGCGCCATGGTCATTGTGTGTGTGTGCCTGTGTGTGTGTGTATACGTGTCCACATGGGGGAGGGTCCCTCCTAAGCCATGTCAACCTTTTAAAGAGCTGAGAGTGTATGCATGCTCATCTGCTAATCTGACTACTATCGCACTGTCATTGTTAGCACTGTTGGCACAGCAACATTTCCAAACTACTATACTTTAGTTAATGGTATTGCGACAAAAATAACACGTTGATGAAAGGATTTTGATATAGTTGTTTCTTACTCATGATTGTTGGTTCCTGTGTGTTATACAGTAATAACGACATTACACTGCTACAGGTCACAGTTCTGTACATACTGTAGGTGAAATGTACAGCATAAGCGATGACCTTAGTGAGGACCTTCACTCTTGAAACATTAACATTGTACAAATGACTGCAACACAAATTCCCCATTAGGAGTCTATGGGAGAATCTCAAATGGTTTTGCTCGCCTCCTGCCTCCTCTCCTCTGACCAGGGAATCTGGAAACAAATGCGCTTGTATGAAATGAGACTCTCCTTCTCCACTCGCGCATCATCAGGCAAATGACGTTTATAGGGGTGGAATCACAAAATAAATGTGCAAATTGATACAAACAAATGTAGCTGGTTGTGCAAGACATTTTAAAGGTAAAATGATAAGTAGTGTATCGTTTTTTAAATGTGTGCATAGTTTTACTCCTTCGAGAAAACAACAGCTGATTCAAAGGGGGTGTGGCGGATGTTAAAACCCTTCCGTGCAGGCCGCCGGTAGGAACGCTCTTGTACGTCCTCTGCTGAAGTAGGTAATCGAGTAGAGGAGGACACTCCTTCGTTCGCCAACTAACAAACTGACGCTCTCCTCGACCACTCGACCACTTATCGGTTTCCGGGTCACGGAGGAGAGGAGGACGGAGGAGTCGAGGAGAGGACGTACTTTTGCTCAATTGAGAATCTCCCTAGGCGTACACTCCACCACTCCTCCTGTTCTTCATAGTGTTTCACTTAGCCTGTGGAGGCAGTATTATCCCAGCCCCAACACAGTAGTTAATTGACAGAATAATCACAGGAATCCTTATCCCTATAATTTCATTCTAACAATTATTCTTCAAAGAGAAAATCATGGTGTACACTGTGCATATGGCCTAGTGTAGGCTATTTCCATGACGTATAGTGCCACAATGAGACTATGGACACAGAATCAGTAAGGCAGAAACAGGTCATGACAGCTTGCCATATTACCATGACTCATTTTCCAAAAGATCAACCAATAACAAATGGCCCCACTGTCCTCAAGAGAACGAGCCAGCTTAGCCAAGATAATTTGTATTCTTAATATCATATACTGTTTGTATGTGAGTGCTCGCTGGTGGCTCATAGGAATAAAGGAAACCCTGTACGCAGAACACTGCCCATTGTGAGGCAGAAACTGGAGGAATTTTCCGGAACAGGCCAGCTCACAGCTTGCGTTGCTGTTTGCCTGTGACGCGTGCTGGTCCACAAGCTCTGGCCCTCACTAAAATACTCCAAGGAGCAGATGGTCTTAAAGTACACCCGCTCCCCCCTCCCACACACACAGCACTCAGAGCTGCCTGTGAGAAGCCCACCCCTCCACCATCACTCCATCACAGTCTGTGTGAGGTAGACTATTGCTTATAAGGCCACAATTACAAACTATAAAACTATGACAAAATTTTGTTGCGACATGTATAGTGCCTGTACAGTACCTATGTTTGCATGTATGTGTGCATGCGTGCATGTATTTTCTGAGTGCATTTGTGTGTGTGTGTGCTTGTTCTTGCATGCCTGTGCACCTCCATGCATTCAAGAGAGCATTTGTGTGTGTGTGTGTGTATCCTCTACCTGGCAGCAGTGTGTCTCTGGACCAGTATCTAGTACAGTCCTGCCCAATGCAGTCCCAGCACAGTGGGCAGATGGTGAGCCACAGGCCCCCTCTCTCATTAGAGTGCTCTCTCTTCCGCCCTGCCCAGTAGGGGGCGACAAACAGAGCAGTCACCTGCATAGCCCCACAGGCAGGAGGCGAAGACCTACTGTGGAAAGATATGTATTGCCATTTTCAATCCTTCCCCAAACCTTCTCAATGTCCAAATCCCTTGCCTTCGCATAACCTTCCTACGCTGGTATTATTTGTTTTTGTACCACATATAAATTGAAGGAGTGGGTCGGTTTCTACCATGTCCCTCACTCCTATAAAGTATTTTCGCATCAGTGGTCACGCAGGAGAAGAGCCAAAGAAAGGAAGCTATTTAGCCACAATAGTTCACATGAAGAAATTCATCTCTTAATATAATTTCTTTAAAAAGCTTGCATGTTTTCAGCACACATGGACATTTTGGCACAATAATAATATAATATAATATAATATGCCATTTAGCAGACGCTTTTATCCAAAGCGACTTACAGTCATGCGTGCATACATATTTTTTTGTGTGTGTTTGGGTGGTCCCGGGGATCGAACCCACTACCTTGGCGTTACAAGCGCCGTGCTCTACCAGCTGAGCTACAGAGGACCACTAAGCTCAAAACAGTCTGTCCGAATTTGGATTTGGAATCTTCATCTGCTGTTGTATCAGAATTCCATGTAATTGTGGTGAGACACTGGCAAAAGCTCTGGTAAAAGCAGGAACTGTTCATTTCTGTGTGGTACTCAGAGGAAAATCTGTCCTGTGATTATTGCATGGCTTTCACTAGCCCCCACTCACACAAATGCAAACACACACACACACAAACTCACACAATACTCAATCACTTGCTCATTTGCCACTTCACTTACCCACTCACCTTAGAACACATGTTGAAAGACGTATTTTATATTTTTGTTTACTGCATTTGAAAATCAAGAAGAGGAAGCATTCTCATTTTACTCAATGTCTTACCAATTTCAAGTCATGCTGCTGAGTATTAAATGAAAAATGACTGAAATCCAATACATTTGCTGTATCACTATATTATTGAGGACACACTGAACCCTCACACAGAGACTGCCCCTCATACCTTTAATATTACTGTAGAACAGCAAGAGTCTTCCAGGTGTAACAACTCATCCAAAGTCAACACCTAGACCAGAGGTTGCCAAACTTTTATGAACAGTGGCACACCTTGATGGGATAAACATTTCTGCAGAACATCTAACATTTCCCTATTCATTGATTTAGTGGTAATGACCTCCATCTCATCTGATCCATACTGCAAATCTTCTATTTTCTGTGACAAATGTTTTTTTAATAGATTAAATAGGGTTTATTTGAACTATTTTCATAGTTTGCATAGTTCCTTACTCATTATGATTCATTTGTGTGTAGGCTACCCCTTTAAGAGCGTCCCAGAATCTGCGGCAGAAAAAATAAATAGCTCAGGTAAAATAAGTATTTAGTTTTGAACGGTTTGAGCTGGAGAGGAGAGGTTTTCTGCATTGTAAAGGTTCAGCCACCGACACAAAGCCATGGTCGGTTTGTTTCTATGGCAAAGGCTGTGGTACAACTTAGCCTAATTAGACATGCCTGTGCTAATGGTTCTCACAGGTGAAGTCAAATGATACATATGACTTTGCTCTTGATGCCAGCCTGAGCGCATTGGACTTGAAAAACAATGATACAGATGTAACCATGCCAACGTCAATATATTATTAATGTATTGTCAATGTATTATCTGAGCGCACTGGTGCTCCCAAGTCAAAATTCCATGGGCATTCCACAGGTCAGGTCACCTTTATAAGTAAGTGATCCAAAACATTATTAAGATCAGGAAAGGTTTCGCGGCACACCAGTTGAAAACCACTGCCCTAGACATCTCTAACAAAAGGTATGACACACAGAGAGGCCAAGAAGCACTGAGAAACAAAGTCAATAGCATCCATTAATCTAAGTAAATAATCAATCTTGGCCATAAAACCAACTAACTCCAACTATCTCCATGGACCAATTAACTCCATCTAACTTTGTCCAGAGCTTTTCCTCACCTGTGCAGTCAGGTGAGTGTCGCAGGCGTTTCTCTCCCTCTCTTGGGTTTCTAGCCTCAGTGCCAACAAGCCTGTCCCCAACAACACGCACATGCACTACTATACGCTAACCGTCACGCCACCGCTCGCGCTGCCATGAAGAGACCTCTCGCCCCTCTCTGTACCATGCCCCATCAAGAGGGGGGGGGGGGATAAACTGCCCCCCCCCCCCTCCCATATGGTAATCAGCCTCCTCAGTGTACCAGCATTGTTCCGTGCCTTTGCCTCGAGGCCCAGCCATTCATAAATGCACACTCCGCACTCCCCTGGCCACAATGACCTCCACTGTTCCCACTCGTCCCAACAAATGTGGGTGAGGCTTTGAGCTCCAAGACCCTTTCCATCCAACACGGCCATTAGTTTAACATTGGATGGGTCCGAGCATATTCGTTTGTTTTGGATTGATGGAGTGCCACGTCCTTGTTTGTTTGAGGTCACTACTATGCCAAAGGGGGATGGAAGAATGGACAGGGAGACAAACAGGGTAAAGATAGAGATGGGAGTTAAAATAACGATGTCATTGTATGGAAATGTTTGTTGTTTTGCGGTAGAAGACCTCTCAGAGGCTAATACATGCCACCCATATCCATATGTAATCTATAGGCCTATTTGAACTATAGCTACAGTACTTGCCACCTAACCTGACCAATAGAGGGCTTGACCAATACATTTGCCACCACAATCTTCTAAACGGCTGGATATTGAGAATAATGACAGTCACTAAACTTGTCCTGTGGCTGAACCATACTGAACTGGTGTTTGAGGGCACAGTGAGAAGCATGTGACCTCAAACCGCATCACTTCCTGCGTGATCAGCTCATAAACCATAGACACATGGTCAAAAACTCCCTTACAGGTCTCAAGAGGCCCTCTCCTTCCCTCCTGCCCTATTTTCTATCACCTTGTCCAAGACTGAAGGTTAACAACTCAAATGTACTATATAGAAGGTCAGGCAATATATAGTATTTACGCAACATGTTTCATGAGCTGAAATAAAAGATCCCAGAAATGTTCCAAATGCCCAAAAAGCGCATTTATCTCAAATTCTTTGCACAAATTTGATTACATCCCTGTTAGTGAGCATTTCTCCTTTGCCAAGACAATCCAACCACCTGACAGGTGTGGCATATCAAGAAGCTGATTAAACAGCATGATCATTACACAGGTGCACCATGTGCTGGGAACAATAAAAGGCCACTCTAAAATGTGCAGTTTTGTCACACAACACAATGCCACAGATGTCTCAAGTTTTGAGGGAGCGTGCAATTGGCATGCTGACTGCAGGAATGTCCACAAGAGCTGTTGCCAGAGAATTGAATGTTCATTTCTCTACCATAAGCCACTTCCAACATTGTTTTAGAGAATTTGGCAGTAGGTCTAACCGGCCTCACAACCGCAGACCACGTGTATAATCGCCAGCCCAGGACCTCCACATCCGGCTTCTTCACCTGCAGGATCGTCTGAGACCAGCCACCCAGACAACTGATGAAACTCAGGAGTATGTATGTCTGTAATAAAGCCTTTTTGTGGGGAAAAACACAGGTTCTGGCTCCCCAGTGGGTGGGCCTATGCCCTCCCAGGCCCACCCATGACTGCGCCCCTGCCCAGTCATGTGAAATCCATAGATTAGGGCCTAATTTATTTATTTCAATTGACTGATTTCCTTATATGAACTGCAACTCAGTAAAATCGTTGAAATTGTTGCATGTTGCGTTTATATTTTTGTTCAGTATATTTATTTCACGATACAAAACAATTATAACAATAACGAATTAAAGGATGATATGACCACTTAAATTAAGAAATTTGACAAATCTATTGGGGTAAGTTGAGGTGGTACAGTCTCTATCTGAAAATGTTTGCTTCCATTTGGAGCCCTCTGAACATGACCCATTGACTACAGTGACTGCAGTATGAGAACATTCACAAGTGTTTTGAGGGCCCGAGGAGAGGTCTAAATATGGGTAAATGCTGAAAAATAATGATATGCACATGGCATATATCCATATACTGATAATAATACTGCAATATTATTATGATATTGCGCTATACACTGAGTGTATAAAGCATTAGGAACACCTTCCTAATATTGAGTTGCACACAGTTTTGCCTTCAGAACGGCTTCAATTCGTCGGGGCATGGACTCTACAAGGTGTCGAAAGCATTCCACAGGGATGCTGGCCCATGTTGACTCCAATGCTTCCCACAGTTGTGTCAAGTTGGCTGGATGTCCTTTGGGTGGTGGACCATTCTTGATACACAAGGGAAACTGTTGAGTGTGAAAAACCCAGCAGCGTTGCAGTTCTTGACACAAACCACTGTGCCTGGCACCTACTACCATACCCTGTTCAAAGGCACTTACATTTTCACTCTCTGAATGGCACACATACAACCATGTCTCAATTGTCTCAAGACTTAAAATCCTTCTAGACCCATCTCTCCACTTCATCTACACTGATTGAATTTGGATTAATAAGTGACATCAGTAAGGGGATCATACTTTCACCTGGTCAGTCTAGTCTTAAATAATAATATGCCATTTAGCAGACGCTTTTATCCAACACTTACAGTCAGCGTGCATAATTTTTTTGTTTGGGTGTCCCTGGATCGAACCCACCTACCTTGGCGTTATAACTGCCGTGCTCTACCAAGCTGAGCATCAAGATGGACCACATGTCATGGAAAGAGCAGGTGTTCCTAATGTTTTGTAGACTCAGCATTCACTAAATATTGCTCAGGCCTTTATTATAAAATAGAGTGTGCGAACACAATGGCGAGGGGAGCTGCTCAATGCTCCTCTGGACTGAACCTCTCTCCACCCAAGGCTCAACCCCCCCCCACCCCTTCAACCCTCCCTGCTACCACCCCCTCCTGTCCTGACACAGTAGCCATTGTCTCCCAGGACCTGCTGGGGGAAAAGAACAGCACAGCTCGAGCCTGACACCGCACAACACTGGGAAGTCGATGTGCACAGATAATTGTCTTTTAATCACAACAATCCCCTTTTCTCTCTGCTCTCGCTCCTCTTTCTCTCGTTGGATTTCTCTCTCTTCTGGTGGCATTAGCTAATTCGACCCATCACCCTTCTTGTTCTACTATTTCTCACATTAGTCTTCCATTGTTTGGTCATGGCAGCATTCAAATGAATCAGGTTTCTTCTTCTGCTTCTCCTAGTTCACCATCTTATCCCCACCACCACCCTCTACCATCGCCAAACACACAAACACACAGCCACACACTTACTCACACACACACACCATCCCCCTATTTGTAGTGTATTTGTAGTGCTCGTGGTGGACAGAGATGGCCAGGTCACCGAGAGAGGGTGAGAGAGCAGAGCACACACTGAGAAAGGATCCATTGTGTTCCAAGCATCATCTTTGGTGGACAGGAGAGATAGATGGTTGTCATTGGTTAAGGGATGGAGAGTTATTGGCACGCATAGACACAGGGTGTCAGTAGAGAGACATATGCCATCTCAAATTCCTCAGCTCTGAGGGTACTACTCTCACTGCTGTAAAATTCATACAAAGAACCGTAAAGTCATTATTTTCTCTCTCACTGATTAACATTTATCATCATCTTCTGATGCTACTAGCCTGCTATCTTAGTACTTTCCAGATCTGGGTTCAAATACTATTTGAAATCAAATACTTTATCTGGTGCTTTATTGAAGTTGCCTTAATGGATCAATTGAATAGTCCAAAAACTGTAAACCCCATCTGGCACTCTATGCAGGCTAGAGCAAACACTCAAAGTATTTGAAAGATTTCAAATAGTATTTGAACCCAGGTCTGGAACCTTCTGCTACATTCTGCCATCATTGAAGTCTCATGACATTATGATGACATAGAAATGAACATGTTGTCATTACGTCCATCTGTTCCAGCCATTGTTGGGTCCAAAGGAATCGGGTCACTAGATTATTGGATGTGTCTGTGGTACACCCACTGTCACTAATGGCTTGTGTCCCTGTGGAACAGAGGATTTACTCCCCAAGGGATATTTGCTCCCCAATCTGTGCCTCACTTGGCCTCATACCCAATTCTGGCTCTATCTTGGGAATTAAGTCAACTATGCTGAGATATAATGCCAAGATCAACTGAATTGTATTTGTTTTAACTGGTTGTCCCAATGGGCCCTTCTCCCAAGGCACCTCATCTTATCATCTAAAAGCTCAAATGGGATCTCCCTCTCCTCTCAAACATTCAAGCAGATGAAGTCTATTAGAAAAGAATAACAGTACAAAACTTTGCCGGGATATGAGACAGCACTCTTACCCATCTATCTATCCTAGTTGTTCTGTTACACTGCTGAATATAGACCCAAGAAAACATACACCCCTTAGCATTAATGAATTGGTGTGAGTTATGATGCCACAATCTTCCATCAATAATACCAAAATAGCAGATACATGTTGGTTGTTTTCAGCCTTAAAAAATACCACGGATGAGGAGATAAACTCTGCTGCTATATCAAAGCTTCTAAAGCCTTACTGGTACCAAACCTCGACAGCTTTCATAGGAAAAAAAACTATTCAGTTATAAAAGGTCACCAACTCACTCTCACACTCCCCTGTCACCAAAGCCTGAATGTGACTGCCAACAACCATGTGCTAAAACACATGACAGACACAAGGCTGAATTCACAAACCTTACCTTGTGAACTCGTTTGTGATAACCACTGAATTGTAATGGTACCCTGATACAGAGGATACAATACAGTGTGAGGTATTAAAGGTGAACACAATGGAATACAATGAAAGTGATTTTGCAGACTATCAAATAAGTAGTATTACACACTACATGATGCTACTATGCAAGAAGACCAATATTGCTCTCAATAGGTATTACAGCCCTGAAAATAATGATGCAATTAACAAGTTATCAAAATCAATCAAATGCAATTAACATAATTGCAATAAATTCAAGATTAGTAATCTAAAGATATAAGAACACAAGTCCCACACATGTAGTATAGCTCTTACCTCATCAGTTGATATGCACCCAGTGAAGCACTTAGCTGTAATGGCCAGCAGATAGGAGCCAGCAAGTCCTCATCTCCTATGGCATCTGCCTTCTCTCCTACTCCCTCCCTCTTTCTCTCGTTTTCTCATTCCCTCTCTATTGGTGAAGCAATCAAAGAAAACGAAGGAAAAACACAAATCTGTATCAGTTGTATTACTTTTAATATGTATTCATACCCATAGGAAAAATCTGTCAAACATAACCACTGTCTTTATACAAATTACATTGTAGTGTCAGGCAGGTTGTAGTGAGTGAATAACATTAATTACAAGATAGTTGGACTTTCTTTGTGAAACACTTATTTCAGTACGTACCACGGCTTTCAGCCAATCAGCATAAAGGTCTCGAACTACCCGGTTTATAATTATCTATATAACTCTTTTAGTTTGCAAATTTGCTTAATTCATTTCATTAGTTCTAGCCAAAAGCAGGGTGAGACAGCAAAATCTGGTGGAGCTGATGTACCAAGCAGGTGGCAGCTGGGCTCTTACCTTGTACAGTACCAATCCTCATGACTTGCCATAACAAAATGTGGCAACAATTCAATTACTGGAAAAATGTAAATAACAGGTATAAAAAGAGGGCATCATTCAGTCAGACCCAATGTTACACCACATCTATCATGGAAATTGGACAAGCAACGGGAAAGGCCTTTAGAGTACAATCTATGGAAAAAGGAAAGACAACGTATGGTTATGATGTTCATGTGGTCAAATAGTAGATACCCATAAAGACAAAAACAAATACTGAAATACTAGTGTGCCTTCTATGTCATACAGTATTCCCTGCATGATACTCCCTGAGTGAACAGCTCTTCTTCATTCGACATAAACAAGACAGTGACATCAGGTGGTATCTTCTAAAACAGCATGTCAGATAGCCTATTATTGAATTTTCACTTAGTCATTCATTGATGTCAATTGGAAACTAAGTGAATATTCGACTGAAGTAGAAGTTCGCTCCATAGACTGTATTTTATAGAAGAAAAAAAACCTGAGCATTTTGAAAAAGATTTATTGTAAAATGATGCCTGTCATAAATCACACTAAACACAGCACGGACAGTGGTTATGACAAGTAGACTGTACAACAATGCATTTTTCATAGCAATTTAAAAATAAAAGGACAAACTATTATCAGCCTATGGGCTGAAATAATTCATGACAAAGAAATGCTGTACAGACAGTTAAAACTAATCCAAAACTCTAAATACAATGATAAACACAATGTAACAATACCTTGGCTATTATTCCATTTTAGTCATTTAGCAGATGCTCTTATCCAGAGCAATTAGGGTTAAGTGCCTTGCTCAAGGGCACTTCGGCAGATTTTTCACTTAGTCGGCTGGGCGATTCGAACCAGCGGCCTTTCGGTTACTGGCCCAACGCTCTTAACCGCTAGGCTACCTTCCGCCCTAATAAAATCTATTCCATCTCAAAAATGTACAGCATGATCTAATTCTAATCTAATAACAAAAAAATCCATGACTTCTCGCAGTAAATAATGAAAAGTTCAAATGAATACTTGCTTTAGAATCTTACTCACATTGACTGTAAGATGAAAATGAAATGGTTAAAAAGAGCGATTGAAAACCATTTTTGGTTTACTTTGGCAACTGCCATTCCAGTGTAGGCTACTTTAATTAAGCCTTGGTATGTTCAACCACACATTACACTTAGCTCTTCAGTTAGAGCTATTCTGTACATAAATATCCAGCGCCAAATTTTGATATCTGAGTTTAGGTATTGGATATAAAATCACTGTAGCAAGTTTGCAACATTAGTACTATTTACATAGACGACTGGTGATTGAGTTAAGGGACAGATCAGTTACGCTGGGGATTATCGAACGTCTCACACCACCAGACTCTCCCGACTCACGGCTCCATTCTGTCAGAAAAGAAAGAGTCGAAACAAACAGAATGATGAGTTGGCCTGGTACTGTACTAGAAGCATTACAATCAGACAACAAGCATACATATGTGAAAAACCCGCTAAAACATACCACCACAATTCTGGCAAAACCAGAATCTGGACTTTTTCTTTTTTCTGCTAAATATGATTATACAATTTTTGTAACTAGCATTAAAGGGATACTTCGGTATTTTGGCAATGAAGCCTTTTATCTACTCATGGTAGCCTCTTTGAATCCGAGAGCAGAAGACTCTTCTCTCGTCTAACATATAGGCTCCCTTTTTGTGGAACAGTCCCATCACAAGTCAGAATGTTGAATAAACTTCATTTGAACGTCGTTTACCTGTTGTCCGCTGATTCTGTCAGACAAAGAATATCCAGAGTATTGTTATTAACCCGACTTTCAGTATGCTGGTCTGTATATCAGTTTGTATTTCCAGTTTGTAGTTTCAATAATGATGCAATTCGCACGCTACTTGCACAATATGTCAACAATGGCCGAGCTTAAACGAAGCGCAGACCGAACGTTGTCCCACGCAATCAGCTGGCAAATTTCACAAGCACTTCCAGCTGATTGTGAGGGAATTGTGAGGGGATGCCGACAACGTTAAGTTACTATTCTTTACATATTGTGCATCACGTGAAACGCATCAGGAGACGGAAAATACATGCGACATAAACCTACCGGTGCCGCAAAAAGTTGGGTAAACAATACTTTACTGTGGACATTGGATCTCCGCTACCTTCCGGCAAAAGGACCAATAGCACGGACAACAATTTTAGTCAACATTCTGGCTTGTAGAGACTATTGCGTCTTTTTCTCTTTGACTGATTATCCATGGAATAACCATGGTAACAGTCTGATGTTTAGGTAAAACTTGTGGATACCATTTTTATGTCTCTGCATCCTGTATGAAGGAAATTACAGGTACTTTCGCGAGCAAATGCTAACTAGCGTTAGCGCAATGACTGAATTGTTATGGGAACAGCATGCTAGCTTTTCCTTCAAGCTGCACGCAGAGACATAAAAAGGGCATCCACGAGTTCATCTGACTCTGGGGAAATAGATAAAGGTCTTCATTGCCAAAATCCCGAAGTATGCCTTTAACTATGTTGATGAAAGTAGTTCTATGAATGAAACAATCAATGAGGCATTTTGGCAATGCAGTAAACAACGCTGTGGCCTTGAGTTGCACCCTGAATGCTCAATGCCCATTTGCAGAACCCTGTGATGACTGACTGACCTTGCGCAGGTTGCTCTTCTTGGAGGACGTCAAGCTCTCGTCATCGCTAATGTAGGGAGGTGGGGGAGGGGCTAGGTAGTTGTCGTCGTAACGACGGTCGGGGAAGGCAGAGGGCGGTGACATGGGGAGTGGAGGGGGTCCACGGGGGGCCCTGCCTCGGTCCGAGCGTTCGCTGTCGCTGTCCAGGCGATCGCGGCTCCTCGCCCTCTGCTGCTCACCTAGACGTTTCTTCTCCATGGCTTCCCGCAGAAAGCTATCATCATAGGCATCCCGCCCACCGCCACGGCCGCCACTGCGCTCACGTTCGACGGCCATCAAGTCGTCACGGCTACGGCTGCGTCTCCCCTGGAGACCGCTGGCCGGGCTGCCTCCGCGGTGACGGTCGTCGGGGGAGGGCTCGCGTCGTCTGCGGTCGTCAAAGTCACGGCCGCGGTCATGGCCGCGGCTGCTAAAGTCATCATCCGAGCTGAGAGGAGAAAAAACAGTGGGTAAACAACTTGGTCGAATAATTATCTTCCCCAGATTTGACCGCTGAGAGGTAAGGTTCACGCACTAGAAATACGTAGGGAAGTAATGTAAGGTAAAAGGAGAAAGAGTGAGAGGTGCCAGATAAGAGCCTCACCCTCTCCTGTCTCTGGCTCCTCCTCCGTCACGGCGGTGGGGAGGGTAGTCGTCGCGGGGATCCCGGGGGTCTCTGGGGTAGCGGTCTCGGCGGGCGATGTCATCCAGGTTGTCCATGGAGCGGGCGCGTCCCTGGTCCCCCAAGTGGGGGGAGGGTCCACCTCCTCGCCGCGGGTAGTCGTCACGCCCCCGCTGGCCGTGCGTGGACACGCTGCTGATGGTGCTCATGGCCTCGTCCTGGTCGTACACGGTGGCAAGGGGCGGGGCCTGGGAGCGGCCCCCGCCACGGCCCCGGGGATCATCGTGTAGGGAGCTGACCTCACTCATCACCCCATCCACTGAGAAAGAGAGATAGAGATGGGGGGAGAGGAGAAGGAAAAATTAAGACGATGGGGAAATGCACAAGAGAGACAGAGAGAGAGAGATCAACCGCGAGTCAGAGTTAAAAAGCACTATCAAAGAACATTACAACACATTAAAGTTGAAGCCAGTTGAAGGCTCCATGTGAAATGAACGAACACTTTCCCCCTTTCACTTGAACAACCCTCATAAAACACAACATTGAACTGATGGATGAGCCTAGGGACCATATTCAAATAGCTTCTCAGAGGTCCCGCCTGGCTATTGTAATCTAAAAGGTTAAACTGATCCTAGATCAGCACTCCTACTCTGAGGCTCTTTGTGATTACAGGCCCCGAACTTTGAAGTACAGTACAGTTCACATGGGTGTGTTTATGTGTAAGACTCACAGCGGTTGTACTTCCCAGCGGCGTCACCAGACCGGGTGAGGTCCAGGTTGGCTAACTGTTTCTCCATGTAGTAGATGGCCCGCGTAGCGTTCCCATCTGGGTCCACCTGGATACGGTAGCCGCTCCGAGCTGAGGAGGAGGGAGTAAACCATGACACATTGTGACAAGCAGGGTTGGTCTGAATTCAATTTCAATCCATTCAATTCAGGAAGTAAACAAAAATTCCTTTGAAAAACAATGAGGAAAATTAGAATGGGAATTTCAGTTTACTTTGTGAATTCACTGAATGGAAATGGAAATGAGCCCAACCCTGGTGAAGAGATGAAATATGCTGATATTTCTCAGCCCGCGAGCTATAGCTCTTGTTAGACTTTTATGTATTATCACAAATAATCAAAACAGATTGAGGATTTGCTAGTAACCGTTTTAACTACTCACTTTGGTCTCCTGCGCCACTGTTCCTGGTCATGCAGCAAAGGCACCTGGGAGCCCTGTCCAACTACAAACAGAAAACAAAAAAAGAGATTTATCAACAAAAGGTTCCTCACGCCAGCGTTGAAAACCACATGGCTGCGAAAATGTGCAGTACTAAGATCTGAGAGCAAGACGATCATCAATCCACACAAAACTGAGAAGCGAAATTCACGCATAAAAGTTATTTTATCCGAGCTAATTGTCATGTTAAAACTGGAGGGAGGCTGTAGTCACCTGAACTGGCACCGTCGTACTCCCGTCCGTAGCCGTTGGGGTGTAGTGGGGGGCCACCCATCCCCTGGGGTAGGGGCAGCATGGGCATGCCGGGCTGTTGCATGCCCCCTCCGTAGGGTGGCTGGGCGTACATGCTGGGGGCATAGAGCGTGGGGGCGTAGTGGCTGGGGACGCCTGACTTCGCCGCCTTGCCTGCTTCGTACACTGAATTGAGAGGAGTCCGTTCACCGTGTTACGATGCATTAATGTTGCAGTTAGGTAGCATACTGGAAATACATATTGTGGAGGGCTTACTTCATTTACCAGGTTTTACTTCATTTGCCTGTTAAAATGTGTTTCATTGTAAGTCATGATGAAATTCAATACAACCAGTGTGTTGTGCACGAGCAAAACCTATATGTCTTTCTATGAAGATAAGAGTAGCAGCACAAGCTGTATAAATAATATGTACATGAGAATGGCAAATAAAAGGTAAACAGTGCCAGTGTCACAAACTGGCAAAGTGAAACTGAATGAGAAAAAGGAGTTTGGTTGAATGGAATGGGCACACTCATGTGAAGGTGGCATCGAAGCAGGATGCTCTGTGCCCAGTGGAAGAGGAACAATTAAGGGTGGTGGTGGTGTGGTTTTTGCACAGAGCGGTGGAGAGTGGTACTTACGTGCCCGGGGGCAGCAGCATTTCTCAGGGCAGCAGGGGCAACTGATGTAGCAGCAGCAGGTGTGGGGGCAGCACTGGCACCAGCAGATCGCTATGAGGAGCAACAGCAGCAGGAAGCCAAACACTACCAGTACCACCAACAACCAGTCTGTAGACAGAGAAAGAGTAGAGGGGGAATAGAGAAAGTAGAGGGAGAGAGAGAGAGAGTGAGAGAGTAGAGAGAGAGAGAGATTATAATTATGTATGTATAGGCAAGCTAATGTGTGTGCCATTCAGTCAAAATTAAACATATCCTCTGCGTTCTCTGGGTGACTATCAGCGTGGTTGCATATTAACGTTTCTGTATTTACATAGCACTTGTTCATGCAGTTCTAGCTGAGAAGTGGAGGACTTCTACTGTTCAAAAAGCCAACTTGACAAAGCTAATATCTTCAAAGATGTGGACAAGAAAATGACAATTTACAAGTCTTTCAAGAACACTGGAGAACAGAGCACTAATATAGAAAAAGAAACACATTCGTTTTAGAACCTGTAGCTTGGCTAGTCCAATTATCAGTCTAGTATGCAAAGCTACAGTATGTATTGTGTGAAAACTCACAATGACAAGCAGTAAACATTGGAGCATCTACACGACATGTTCATTTCAGACATCAGAGAAACCAGATAAGACAGGTTTCAGTTTTCCTTTTTTTCAAACACTGGGTTTCAGTGAGTCATTCTGTCAGATTAGAGAGCTAGCTGCACGGGATGTGAAAACAATCTATGCTAATATACTGAAAGAGGATATATTAACTTAAACCCCAACTCTCCTATAAATGTCATAGGCTGCAGTCTGACTGAAAAAGAGTTCATGTGCAGTTTGAGTCAACACAAAACAGACCAGAGCTATGTGCTGAGTGGCCTCATATTGCAACAATGTCAGTCTTTAGGGCTAGCATTATGTTCTGCTGAGAGTTTTGCGGTCTCAACCATGAAGAAGAGAAAAAACATGTTAGAGTTGAATGTAACATTTTATTCCATGCAACCAACTAATTTTATATTTCAGGGGTTACACATTTTCTCATAATCTGTTTTTTAAATTGTTGTGAGGGGACTTCACATGCAAGGACAAGTCCAAACAAGATAATAGTAAAGAGGAGTTTTTTGGTGGCTTTTCTGCTGAGCACTACTTTGAGATGTGGTTCAATGTGGTTCCTCATTCCAAATGTAGACCTTGAAGGTGGTGTAATGTAAAAAAAAAAAAAATGACAAACTGAGAGGCTTGATTTAGTAGAGCCAAAATCATTGCACAAACTACCTTGATAAAAACATCAACAAGCTTGATAACTCAAACCAGCAAAACTTTAGTTTTGTCTGCCTTTATCAAGGGAGGCTGCTTCTCTGACTCTACATGTTCTAACCACACTGACTATATGTTGTCTCGTTCAAAGCTGTGAGGTATTTGCAAGAGGGTCCAGGCCAAATATTATTCTCCAGAAACTGAACCTATACAGTGACATAGTTTACATATTACCCTAACAATCATGGCTTAGGCTAGGTTGGGCTCTACTGAATATAAGGGGCAAATTGGAAAGTACCTTCCATAACCAGTAAGTCAATCTCAGGCAGGAGATCAGTGGTATTTGACTTTCTCTCTGTGAAAGAAGGAAAGCCACAATTATTTTAAAAAGCCCCAACTATCTTTCTAGTAAATGACTATACCTTTGCCCTCTAGAGTCTCCCTCACATCAACTTGTCCTTCTTAGAATTCCCTGCTAAGTGGTTCATGAATCACTTCAAAATGGAAGTCATGGATCCTTCCGGAGAAACTTCACTGAGCCTTGAGGGATGCAGTCTCATTAAGCACAACCAGGAGTCAAATAGCAAATTTGGAAATTGTGGAACTGCCTGAAAATTGGATTTTCAAGATAATTTTACATTTGATTGTTACCGCTATAAGATTTTGTGTTGCTCCACATGGTGTCCAGCTAACTCAACAAATAAACCAAAGCGAACTAAGGGGAAACCAACACAGAGTAAACAAGTGATTGTTCCTCATAGGACAGCAGTTCTGTGAGGAGCAGTGGTATAGGACTTGGTAGAGAGATGGAGGGGTGGTGGTGGAATAGTGGAAGATGACGGCAGGTCAGGGGAGCTCTAAGAAGGGTTTGTGAGGATAGACGCCACTCACCCAGCACTATGAGCTCAGTGTAGTCCTCGCTGTTCCCTGTCAGATCCTGAGCAGACACCACAGAGCACACGTACACGCCACTGTCTCCCCACGCCGTCTGGGCAAGGTTCAGGTCTGCGTCTAAAGAGACAAGTAGGGTGGGTTTGAGGAAGGGACACTGGCAACAGACAAGACTCACTGTGATATAGGAGCCTTGTAATGGAAGTAACACACAGACACAGAGAGAGACAGGAACACATACACACACACACCGGTGTGCACGGCCCGCCCACACACACACCACATTTGAAATCACTAAAAGCCAAACTCACTGTTCAAGATGCTGACTTTGCGCCCCTGGTACTCCTGGCCCAGGGTGACAGCACTGCCCTGCTTGGAGGCCACAATGCGCACTGTCCGCATGCTGTCGGCACACTCGATGTTGGCGTTGTAGTTAGGGTTGTTCTGGGACAGGACGTTGTCAGCGCTGCTGGGGTTCAGGGCTGCCTGGATGGGGTCCCTGCAGTAGGACTTGTACTTCCAGGTGATGACGGGTGGCTGCGTGGAAGACGTCTGGAAGTTGCAGGTGAGCGTGACCGGCTGGAACAGGATGACCACGTATCTCTTGTCAGGACACTGGACAGAGATGGCCATGGTGGAACCTGGAGAGAGAATAGGGGGTGTTTAAAGAGGATAGTTTGTCTCAATGCATGCAGGTAGATGGAGACCTTCACCACCCATAAGTGTGCAAGAAAGTGTGTTGTTAACTGAAGGCAGCTAACTTTTCTTGTGAGTACATTATTTGCTCAATTTTCTCATTTGTAATTCAGTAGCTCTGTGAGAGTGAGATTGAAGATACTCTGGGTGTGGCAGGAAACTGACCAGTCTGTAAATGACAGTCACAAAGGTCTGCCTGGTATCATAGAGTAGATGCAATGAGTCACCAAGACCTTCAGCTGGGCATGTTCCATCACCAAAACTTTACATTTGAGTAATAGCCTAGCCCTAGATGCTGACCCCATGATTAAGACTGTGAGATTATTTAATAGTTCAGTTTTGACTGAATTATATATTTCATAGGGGGTGAAATTGTATCAAATTTATAAAGGAAGACATAGGCATTTGGCATGAACATATTAGATGTTGTTCCTTGGTTCAATCAGAAGTTTGCTTCACAGCTCTTCAATTGTCAGAAAGGTAGCATCCCTGTGGAATTACTGTTAGATAAACAAATCTGTTGAGCTATAGATTAATTTCATATTTGGAGTAGGGAGGTAGTCTGACTAGTATCATTGATGTGATATTATCAAAATCACACCACTTCATCTTATTCCAGGCTATGTGTGTGCACAAAAAATGTCAGGAGACAGAAAATAACAATGATATGACGAATACTTGATCTGAAAGTTTAAAAAAGTTTTGACTATGATTCAGTCTTAAAAATGTATGTGCCGACTATCCCTTAATTTATTGCATTCTGACATGAATGTTGTCCACCACTGGAGAAACGGAAATCTGTGATTTAACTAATAAATAAAGAAGTCACTAATTATCTGAAATATACATAAGAATATTATACATGTTCTTTCTTTAGGAAAAACACTCAATATTACTTATGGTGGTGATTTACCCACATGTACGTATTACCTCAATTACCTCGACTAGCCGGTGCCCACGCACATTGACTCTGCACTGGTACCCCCCTGTATATAGCCTCCCTACTGTTATTTTATTTTACTGCTGCTCTTTAGTTATTAGCTCTTTTTTTTTGGTTATTTGTTTTACTTTGTATTGTTGGTTAAGGGCTTGTAAGTAAGCATTTCACTGTAATGTCTACACCTGTTGTATTCGGCGCATGTGGCAAATACAATTTGATTTGATTTTACAAAGCCTACACCAAACGGTAAAAGTATTTTTTTTTAAATACATAAACATAGTATTTCGTGTACGTCATGAAGCAAACAGATGAATAGCATATATAAAACGATCAAATGCATACAGATTGAGGCATTTGGTGGCCAACACCTGACAAAAGAAGGAACAAGAGATTCAGGCTACCTCTTCCGATAAAAAAAATAAAAATAAACTATTCAGCACAAGGCTACTTTTCCCAACGAATACGACATTAAAATTTACATTAGATAATATGAACTGTTTAAAAGATGCGGTTTATTAATAAATACACATCAGTAACTAACTTGTTGATCAAATTGGACCCTGACCCTCCCTTTTGAAAAACATTGCATTTCCTCTCCCTACCTGTTGCCATAAGGACGGTCACGACGAAAGTCAGGAACATTTTCCGATCCGAAGTGAGTATATTTTATAGAAGTCTCAATTTAAAAACCATGTAACGTAATGAATTCAATGGGAGCAGAAAAGCCATTAGAAACCTTGTAGAAACGCAACCATTAATTGTTTTTTCCTTAACTAGGTAGGCCAACTTCCGACATTTTGTCTCACGGTGTAGGAGGCGGACCTGACAGGTGAGATTGCCAAACCTCTTGCACAGTAGGGGGACGTTTGATGTGAATTCTGGGGGGTGGCCATTGAAAACGAATATTACATGGCTGGTTCTAATGTGAAATTTGTAATTAAAAATAATAATTTGGATTGTAAAAATGTATTTTTGTTTTATTACACAGTTTATTTAGTTAATCGCCCTCTACATTGATAATGTAACTTTGAACGTGACCTGGGACACACCCATTCCACATCAAACGAAAGGGAGCGATAGTTGGTATGGCCCAGCTCGAAACTGGTTACTTTTCAAGCTTCAATGACGGTGTTGCTGCCTCTGCCTCTATACTAAGCAGCAGCAGCAGTGTGCCGATCTCAAGCTGCTGGCCTAGTAAAACTGTTTTATGGGGATTGTTTGTTGATAAGCAATGTACCCTATGAGGAGTAAGGACTGTGTGGGCGCGCATGCGGGAAATGCCAGTAAAAGCAGGCTTTCAATTGTGGGTTTCAATTTCTATTTGATTTGTGGACTTCAACTGTTGCATTTTCTTTGAAGAAAGTTCGTTTAACAGACAGCTTTCACTCTGAATACCCTTAGCAATGGTATCCTACACGTTTCACATTGTTTTGTTTGCGATTCCTATTAATAAATCCCTTTCATACAGATGCTTTACCTGTAAAGTACCTTTATTTTAGCAGGTTCAGGTTTTTCACATCACTATCAGATATGAAAGATAAAGAGATCCCTTTCAATGCAATGAACATAATAATGTAATCCAGATACATAAGTCAATTTTTCTGGTTTCACACTGAAGATTTGCTCAGTGGGCCTGGCTATGTAGATGGTGATAAAATATTGGCAGCACAATAACATTTTTTACTTTTGTCCTATTTTATTCAATAGTAAATCAATTCACAACTTTCCACAAAAGGAGAATAGGCCTATTCTAATATAGCATACTAGTTGGGGTTAAAAAGCAGATACCTCACCTAATGAATGTCAGTATGCAGTGCATTCGGAAAGTATTCAGACCCCTTGACTTTTTCCACATTTTGTTATGTTACAGCCTTATTCTAAAATGGATTTTTTTTTTCGTTCATCAATCTACACACAATACCCCATAATGACAAAGCAAAAACTGTTTAGAATTTATTGCTAATTTATTACAAATAAAAAACGGAAATATCACATTTACATAAGTATTCAGACCCTTTACTCAGTTGAAGCATCTTTGGCAGCGATTACAGCCTCTAGTCTTCTTGGGTATGACGCTACAAGCTTGGCACACCTGTATTTGGGGACTTTCTCCCATTAGTCTCTGCAGATCCTCTCAAGCTCTGTCAGGTTGGATGGGGAGCGTTGCTGCACAGCTATTTTCAGGTCTCTCCAGAGATGTTAGATCGGGTTCAAGTCCAGGCTCTGGCTGGGCCACTCAAGGACATTCAGAGACTTGTCCCAAAGCCACTCCTGCATTGTCTTGGCTGTGTGCTTAGGGTCGTTGTCCTGTTGGAAGGTGAACCTTTGCCCCAGTCTGAGGTCCTGAGCGCTCTACAGCAGGTTTTCATCAAGGATCTCTCTCTACTTTGCTCTGTTCATCTTTCCCTCAATCCTGACTAGTCTCCCAGTCCCTGACTCTGAAAAACATCCCCACAGCATGATGCAGCCACCACCATGCTTCACCGTAGGGATGGTGCCGTGTTTCCTCCAGACGTGACCCTTGGCATTCAGGTCAAAGAGTTCAATCTTGGTTTCATCAGACCAGAGAATATTGTTTCTCATGGTCCGAGAGTCCTTTAGGCAAACTCCAAGCGGACCGTCATGTGCCTTTTACTGAGGAGTGGCTTCTGTCTGGCCACTCTACCATAAAGGACTGATTGGTGGAGTGCTGCAGAGATGGTTGTCTTTCTGGAAGGTTCTCCCATCTCCACAGAGGAACTCTGTGTTTGGCCGGGCGGCCAGCTCTAGGAAGAGGCTTGGTGGTTCCAAACTTCTTCCATTTAAGAATGATGGAGGCCTCTGTGTTCTTGGGGACCTTCAATGCTGCAGAAATGTTTTGTTACCCTTCCCCAGATCTGTGCCTCGACACAATCCTGGCTTGGAGCTCTACGGACAATTCTTTCGACCTCGACCTTGCTTTTTGCTCTGACATGCACTGTCAACTGTGGGACCTTATATAAACAGGTGTGTGCCTTTCCAAATCATGTCCAATCAATTTAAAATGTACCACAGGTGGACTCCAATCAAGTTGTAGAAACATCTCAGGGATGATCAATGGAAACAGGATGCACCTGACCGCAATTTCGAGTCTCATCGCAAAGGGTCTGAATACATATGTAAATAAGGTATTTCAGTTTTGTATTTGTAATAAATTAGCAACAATTTCAAAAAACCTGTTTTCACTTTATGGGGTATTGTGTGTAGATTGATGAGAAAAAATATTCAATCAATTTTAGAATAAGGCTGTAACCTAACAAAATGTGGAAAAAGTCTGAACACTTTCCAAATGCACTGTACATGTCACAGGCTGGAAAGTAACAGGTTCAAAACCATAGTTAAAATTGGAAAAACAAAACAAATCACACAGGAAGTGCTGCAGCACAGAAGGCAGGTGTCCGTCTTTAGAATGATAACAATTACAGCTCTCAAAGCCATGTGCTATCATCAAACAGCAACCATACTTTGAACAAACAGGATCCACCATGCCTCTATGCTGCATCACTCCCAGTGGGCAGCTGTATAGAACTACAATTGACAGGGTTTAAAATACACTGAGCTCAAATTACATGATTAGTTTGCTATCCAATATAATTGTTTGTTAGATTAAGCATGCAAATACGTAACTGTGGCATATTGTAAATAACTAAACAAGGATATTTTTTATGTATGAGACTAAGGTTAATGTAGAATGCTTCACTTTTCCTCTCCCAAATGCTCCACTGGTCCTCTCCCTAATGCTCGACTGCATGGTCCTCACACTTCTGTCATCATCTCCAGAGCTTCAGGCCTATAGAAAGAAATTGACATGGATCAAAACCCTTACTTAGGCCAAGAAGAATAAACGTTTATATGTTGTTGATAGCTGTCTTACCCATCACTGGAGGGTTGGGGGACACATTTTACCAAACCTACCTCCTCTCCTGACGATCGCTGTAAAAAACACAAACAGGGGAGAGAGAAAATAACATTGAGCCATAAAAGTTTAGCAATTTTATTGGTTGTAGCTATTTTATATAATGTAGCTATTTTTTATAAATACATTTGCATTTTATTGTATAGAATGTTGTGGTTAGATTATGATATAACATAGAGAATAGCCAACCTAATTATAACTTGATATAATTTAATCTGTTTTAAAGAAGTTATAAAATCTGGATAAGAGGACTCTTAAACTATTGGTCTTAACTGTGTACATACCGTTTCATCTTGCGATTACGGTGGAGGCCAATCCCAGCACAGCAGACCACTATGGAAGGATAAACATATTTTCAAACTTAAAAGTACTTGACATTCCCAACACTAGCCTTTGAAGAAGAAAAAAAAAGAGAAAGTAATTTGTGTTTATTCAATTCATAAAAAAACACCAAACATGTAAAATAGAAATAAACACTACTGGTACCTAGATACATACCATACCAGCAATCCCAACAAGGCTGAGGATACCAGCAATCCCGCCAGGGCTGAGGGTACCAGAAATCCCAGCAGGGCTGGTCTTAGGGGATACAAAATCATATTTGATTTAGAAATATGGTATTAATCTTATAGGTGAATCTTATATCGTATATGTGAATATATAACTTTCTATTTTCTAACATCAGTGTTTTAGTAGATGTTTACCTGTTGCACCAGGAACAGTCTTCATGGCTGGGCAGTCTGTCATTAAAACAGTTCATGATTATAAACATCCTTCGAGGGAAGGGTATTTAAGTATTTAAATTACTTAGTTATGGAAGAACAAATCACATTTTGACAACAAAAGACAATATACTACTGTGAAGATACATTTCCCACCCTGACTGTTGAATAGTAATGTTATATCAGTCTGTTTTGTCACATTGTTTAATTCACTATTGAGTCTTACTTCAGCCATAAGTTATACTTACCAACCACAGAGATGTTTTTCAATCGGATGCCATCAACCTCCCAGTCGAGCAGCCCAGCTGCTTCCCCGCTGTCTGAGCAAAAGAGGATCGTAGCTCTGGTATCAGCAAGACATAAATTGCATCTCTGACTCGGAGGCGGTGGTGCAGCGGTGGTGGAACAACTTGTGAGCTTTTCCATGTGGTTACTTCTCTGATACAATATGGTGTCATTCGATCCATATATTGTCTGCACTTTTGCACATCCGTCTTGATTGCAGGCTGAACAGCTTCCTGAGAAAAGGAGGCATGGATGAACACAAAGGCAGCAAGTAGGAGCATTAAAATGAACACATTTGTAATATTACATTTTCCTGAGCAGGTTGATCATATAGATGGATTTAACTTGACATTTTTATTGATGGATCCGAAAATAATAGTAAAATGCCACACAACTAAAAGTTGTTTAAAACAATACATATCTCACACAGGGTGGGAATGAGAGAGAGAGAAGGAAAGAGACAGTGAAAGAGAGGGAGAGAGTGAGTGAGGCCGAGTGAAACAGTGTGAAAGAGAATGTCTCTACTGGTTTAAACTGAACACACAGCCTCACTTACAGAAGTGTTCCTGAGAGAGAGTGTTCCACTTCCTGCATGTGTGTCTGCCAAGTAGAGCTCATTACATGACTGGCTGCTCTAACAATCTAAACATAAAGCAGAACATATAGAGCTTTTCATTGCAAAAACAATCTCAAAACATTTAAAGAGCAAACAGACAAAAAGGGCAGAGCTCACCATCAGAGTCTTGAATTAGTGCACTGATGATTAGGAACTGAAGAAACACTGGAAACACAGGAAATTATAGTTATTTTTTGTTTTCATTGTTGTAACAAGCACCAAAAGCACCTATTTTGTTCAAAGTTATTGATTCCCACAAAAATGGCTGGAATAGAAAATGAATGAATTGTAAAAGTATCAGAAGTACTGCAAACACACAGTGTACTGTATGACAGAGTGATAGACTGTTTCATCAACATGAAAGAGAGGAGGATGGCATTGGTGTTTTCTCTACAAGTAGGGTGAGTCAACATGTATTTTTCTACTTGCACAAACGCACACCCTCGCGTGCACACACATACACAGAACTATTGACAGCCACATGACATTTAGCTTACGTTGATTGGACTAAATAGTTTTTGGTATATTTTAGTTGTCACTGTATTAGACTAAACATAGGTGATTTGATGAGGTTGAAATGGTGCTGGAATAGTGGGAGGCAGCTCCTGTTTTCTTTGCGACTCTCCGGGGTTCTAAATCAATAGTTGTTTAGTGGTCAGAAAATGTCTGAAACATGAACTTGCTTGACCATGCTGTAGGCCATGTAACTGTTTGCTACATGCGATATGCTTGCTTTGTGGACTTCACCAGACAGAGGTTGCTCTCTGGTTTTGTGATCAAACAATGGTGTGGTTGAATTTATTCTGCCACTGTGTCTTCTTATTGTCTTGGCCTTAGGCCTATATATCACTGTCGCAAGGCATATGAACTAACAGGTTATAGCAAAAACAACGCAATTATCAAAATACATGCCTTGGCTTCCCCAGTGATTTCACCCATGCACCGCTACTGCAAACACATAACAATGCAAGTAAAAGGAAAAATATATACCAGTATATTTCACATGCTCCATCCCAGCCCCTCTTCTTCTGTAAAAGGTTGTTTTCTTTCGTTGACGAGGAGCTTGTTCACTCACACACTTGGTGACAGGAAGTCCTTGGGTGACAGGAAGAGGGAGGCCTTCCTCAAGGTCAGGGAGGCCTTCCACCTGACCTTGAGCCATGTTAGATTTAAGATTTGGGGACTCTTCATCTCTTTTGTAGGTAGCAATCTTCTCTCTTGTAGCCTCTCTCTTGTACCCTGTTGCACCATCCATTACTGCTGGGCTTTTCTTTGGAACCAGAGCAAGATCCAGAGCCTCATTGTATGATGGTCGGGTAGGCACTGCCTCAGCATCTTTTCCAGGGTTGGTCTCTGGTTCAAAGGCGGACATGGATATGCTCATGTGAGGTTCCATCAGAGGGGTATCAAGGGGGGGTGCTGCTAACACCCCCATTTCGGATTGGTGATCCCCTGAAGACTCTTGCATTTTCTTCACCACTGTAGAGACACCACCTGGGCGGGTGGGTCTCTGGTCAGTCCCAGGAGTGGAGAAATCATCCACTTGACCTTTCTTCTTAACATGACCAGAGATAACTTGATGATCCTCAGGCACTTGCACGGGTAGATTAGCACAAGTAACAGGCACTCCTGGTGTCCTGTAGCTGTTGAGTTCGCTTATTCTCTGCGTTTTGCTAGGGATAGGCCTTACAAAGCTGTTGCTCTCAGCTTGAAGTGATGTTTTCTCAGGGTAATGATCAGTCCTAATGCTGTGCTGCATATCTGCTGAGTAGCCAGCAAACCTATACAAAACATAAAGACGTTTAATCAATTTATCTTCCAGGTTAGCCTGCCATGCTTAATGCCAATCCATGATTTAAGCAAACGTGTGTGCGCGCACATATGCACACACACGATTAGTCATTTGTAGACTTACCCACTTTCCTGAGCATGCTGCAGTGGTCCACCTGGGCGGTAAATAAAAACAGTAATTCTGAATCATTATCTTGACGTTGGGAAAGCGTAAATAGGCGCCTGGAGAATATGATGTAGGCCTAGATAAATTAATCAGCCGTTAAATGCTTACACATTAATAACCTACTGCCAAATAAGGCCAAGAAAAATAAAACGAGTTTTCATAGCCTATGAGTTGCGTTATGGACCTTGTGATGTCTGAGAATAGGGCGTTTTTCAATAATAGGCTCCTAACTATTAGGATTGTAAAAGGCCATTTCACGTTATTGGAGTTACGTGCCTTATCAAAAAATAAAAACATAGTACAGTTCAACAGAAATAGCACAGGCTAATATAAACACAAATGTCCTACTATAATAGCTTATATTTAACAAATTACACAAAATAAATAGGGTAACGATTTAGCTGAATTAATCATTAATCTTATCAAATTTGAAAGAATCATAAATTATGTCGATGATTCACATGGCAAAATCGAAAAAAAATGTATAATAATGTATGCACTCACTAACTGTAAGTCGCTATGGATAAGAGCGTCTGCTAAATGACTAAAATGTCAATGTAAATGTATTAAAACTACGAGTTTAAGGCAGGCTAAAATATAAGCATACACCCCCTCCGAAATACAGGCTTTTCTGCACGGCCTACATTATTTCATTTTTTTCCAATGTTCCGTTTAGGCTATGCTTTATCAAACTATTCATAATTTATTCAAGATTTCGCTTAGCTACCAAATGGTTTCGACGTGGAATGATCTCTCTTCAATATTGGATTACGTAATTGATTAATCTAGCAGGCTATTTACTTTTTCCAGGCTTTCTGGGAGACCATTATTGATACAGCCTAATTAGCATAATATAATTCATTGCAATTCTGACTGTCACTCAAGTTCATAGACAAGTTTGAATGAAAGACACCCTAAACGTATTATTTTATGACCTCGGTTTAACATGCAAAGCCGGATTTTTTGGGGGGCCTATTTCGGCTATTCGATGCCGACTGAGACCCCTGCTGTGAAAATGTCTAAACTTCGATTCAATTTTAATAGGCAAGAATAGGCTACTCTAGAGAACATTGTCAAAGATTATGATAACTAACCCCATAAAGCTTTCACCTTTTCTCTGTGACAGTATTATCGGAGAACAATTATCGGGCTTCTGCGTGCTACATGGTTCAGAAATAGTTTAGCAGGCCTTCTACTCAGCCCAACCGGCACCTGTACATTCCGGCACCGTATAGGCTATTCCCGAGCACGATAATGAGCATTCAAATCATACAAATTAAGTTAGAAGACATATTCGAATGTACTTACTAATAACCATTGTTGCGAAGTTTGAGTGAGCCCAGTACGTGTCAGTTGTCTGGTTTAGCCTACGCTTTAGCATACTTTTAAGGAAATACAGATGCGGGACTGGATAATACCGGTATGAGCCTTAGGCTATGAGGTTATGAGGTATTGAACTTGATTGAAATTTGAGAAACATCTCCTCCTGGTGTTTCAAATGTATAGCATTATAGGCCTATTAATATTAGTAAAAATAATACAGCTGTATTTCACATAGAAACCCGGTTCTAAAGGGCTCTTCTACAGGCGTAAAGGTTCCTTCTCTTTGGAATAAAGGCTTCTAAACTTTATTGGGTGAAAAGGTTCTACGTGGATCTGTAAAGGGTTCTTCTACATGGACAAGCTGAATGACCCTTTATGGTTCTAGATAGAACCGTTTTTTCTAAGAGCATAGGCATATGCAGGTTTATATAACCTATAGAAAAACTATTGCCTTTATGTTCATGAGATCGAAAATTAAATCAATAACGAACCACTTGCAAACAATCGTGCAGGTTGATTAAAATTCAATCTTAATGTACTGCACATTAATTTACTTATGAATACTTTGCATAAAGTGATTAAATAACGTTTAATATCAATGCAACTACAAAATCATAATTTGCCGATTAGCTATTACGTCTATGTTTATACAGTGCCTTCAGAAAGTATTCACACCCCTTGACTTTTTCCACATTTTGTTGTTACAAAGTGGGATTAAAATGGATTTAATTGTGTGTTTTTTTTTGTCAATGATCAACACAAAACACAAAATTCTAACATTTGTAAAAAAAAATGATATATATAAAAATAGAAGACCAATATATCTTGATTAGATAAGTATTCAACCCCCTGAGACATTACATGTTCGAATCACCTTTGGCAGTGATTACAGCTGTGAGTCTTTCTGGGTTAGTCTCCAAGAGCTTTCCACATCTGGATTGTGCAACATTTGCCCATTATTCTTTTCAAAATTCTTCAAGCTCTGTCAAATTGGTTGTTGATCATTGCTAGACAACTATTTACAGGTCTTGTCATAGATTTCCAAGCAGATTTAAGTCAAATTTGCTTACGACTGGTCTGCCGACGAAATCGTCTGATGCGATTACAACAGGTTTCCCGTTACGACGTCGACCACGAAGATCCATCTGCTAGCCCCGGCCCGCTAGCACACGCTAGCCGTGGCCTCTTGCTCGCTAGTGCTATAGCAGCCCCCGAACTACCTCCGAACTCTCCTATTGCTGTTCACCGGACCTTATGATAACTCAGCTATACAGCTGATGCCTGCTGGACTGTTCCTTTATACGGTACCGCATCCTGTTTATGTTTAGCCTCAGCCCAAACTTTGTCGCGATTACCAGCTGTTGTCTTAGCTCTCTTGAATAACACCCGTGATTGCTTTATGCCTCTCTCCCATGTCAATATGCCTTGCTTATTGCTGTTTTGGTTATTTCTTATTGTACTATTTCACTGTAGATCCCCCAGCCCAGCTCAACCTGCCATAGATAGCTCCTTTGTCCCACCCCCCCATTACACGCAGAGACCGACTCAATTGGTGCCTCCATTGATGCTATCTCTTTCATTGTTACCCAACGCTTAGGTTTACCTCCACTGTACTCATATCCTTCCCATATCCTTTTCTGTACATAATGCCCTGAATCTATTCTACAACGCCCGGAAACCTGCCCCTTTTTTTCTCTGTACCCAACGCACTAGAAGACCAGTACTTAAAGCCTTTAGCCGTATCCTTATTCTACTCCTCCTCTGTTCCTCTGGTGATGTAGAGGTTAACCAAGGCCCTGTAGCCCCCAGTATCACTCCTGCTCCCCAGGCATGATCATTTGTTGACTTCTGTAACCGTAAAAGCATTGGTTTCTTGCACGTTAACATCCGAAGCCTCCTCTCGAAGTTTGAGTTATTCACTGCGTTAGCACACTCCGCCAACCCTGATGTCCTAGCAGTGTCTGAATCCTGGCTTTCCATCCCCAACTACAACATTTTCCGTCTCGATAGAACTGCCAAAGGGGGTGGGGTTGCAATCTACTGTAGAGATAGCCTGCAGAGCTCTATCGTACTATCCAGGTCTGTGCCCAAACAGTTTGAGCTTCTACTTCTAAAAATCCACCTTTCCAGAAATAAGTCTCTCACTGTTGCCGCTTGCTACAGACCCCCCTCAGCACCGAGCTGTGCCCTGGACACCATATGTGAACTGATTGCCCCCCATCTATCCTCAGAGTTCGTACTGCTTGGTGACCTAAACTGGGATATGCTTAACACCCCAGCCAACCTACAATCTAAACTAGATGCCCTCAATCTCACACAAATTATCAACGAACCTACCAGGTACAACCCTAAATCTGTAAACATGGGCACCCTCATAGATATCATCCTGACAAATGTACCCTCTAAATACACCTCAGCTGTCTTCAACCAGGATCTCAGCGATCACTGCCTTAATGCCTGCGTCCGTAATGGGTCTGCGGTCAAACGACCACCCCTCATCACTGTCAAACGCTCCCTAAAACACATTAGCGAGCAGGCCTTTCTAATTGACCTGGCCCGGGTATCCTGGATGGATATTGACCTCATTCCGTCAGTAGAGGATGCCTGGTTGTTCTTTAAAAGTGCTTTCCTCTCAATCTTAAATAAGCATGCCCCATTCAAAAAATTCAGAACTAAGAACAGATATAGCCCCTGGTTCTCCTCAGACTTGACTGCCCTTGACCAGCACAAAAACATCCTGTGGCATACTGCATTAGCATCGAACAGCCCCCGCGATATGCAACTTTTCAGGGAAGTCAGGAACCAATATACACAATCAGTTAGGAAAGCAAAGGCTAGCTTTTTCAAACAGAAAATCCCCCCCCCCCCCCCCCCCCCCCCCCCCCCCCCCCCCCCCCCCCCCGCTTCTGCTTCACACAAATTCAGACAGCTGATGTTCTGAAAGAGCTAAAAAATCTGGACCCCTACAAATCAGCTGGGCTAGACAATCTGGACCCTTTCTTTCTCAAATTAGCCGCCAAAATTGTCGCAACCCCTATTTCTAGCCTGTTCAACCTCTCTTTCGTAACGTCTGAGATCCCCAGAGATTAGAAAGCTGCTGCGGTCATCCCCCTCTTCAAAGGGGGTGACACTGTAGATCCAAACTGTTGCAGACCTATATCCATCCTGCCCTGCCTTTCGAAAGTATTTGAAAGCCAAGTTAACAAACAGATCACCGACCATTTCGAATCCCACCGTAACTTCTCCTCTATGCAATCCGGTTTCCGAGCTGGTCATGGGCACCTCAGCCACGCTCAAGGTCCTAAACGATATTATAACCGTGATCGGTAAAAGACAGTACTGCGCAGCCGTCTTCATCGACCTGGCCAAGGCTTTCGACTCTGTCAACCACCGCATTCTTATTGGCAGACTAAATAGCCTTGGTTTCTCTAATGACTGCCTCGCCTGGTTCACCAACTACTTCTCAGAGTTCAATGTGTCAAATCGGATGGCCTGTTGTCT